CACCCCCAAATCGATCATGTCTGATGACGTTAACGTCTTGGAAGCGCTCGTTTCGACGACGCCACACCCTCCTACGTCTGTCCAAAAAATCAACAGTGAACCTTGACTCATCTGAAAACATCACATTGCTCCAGCGTCGATTATCCCAGTGTTGACGATCCCTACACCAACGACGTCTTGCCTGAATGTGATGATCTCTCAAACAAGGGATCACGCGAGGACGTCGGGCGCGAAGGTGACCCCTATGCAGTCGATTCCGAATCGTCTGGCCACTCACTCTCACACCAGTGTCTGTTTGAAGACGAGCGCTGATCTGATTTGCTGTGATGACACGATTTCTCAAGGCCAAGGTACGGATAAATCGATCCTGGGCTTGAGTTGTCGCCCTTGGTCGACCTGAGCGTGGTCTGTCCTGTACAGATTGTGTATCACGGTATCTGGACCATAGCCTGCTTATGACAGACTGAGAAACATTCATCGTCCGCGCCACAACCGCCTGTGTTGTGCCGATCTGTAGCATGCCAAGGGCACGTAACCTTTCATTTTGGGTAAGCCGACGCATATCAAAATTTGTTTTCTGGTCACTAAAACAATTAAACTGATGTTTCCACCCTGGAATTCAATGCCACAATGACTGTAACATTCAAAGTCAGAGTCGTGCAAATCTTGGGTTGGACCCCCATGATGATCCCAAGCATCACCTGCATTCCATGCGGTAGCTATTGGTGCGTTTGGGCGTCACATGTAACTGGGAATGTTTCTTCTGTTAGGTTCTATAGTGACTTTTTTCGTAGTCATTTGCATATTTTAGTATTATGCCCCCAAAATCAAATATCCTCTACTTTTTTTGAATAGTATATATTGTCTTGATCATATTTGTAAGATGCGGTACTTTACACTTACCTAGATTCAGATCTTATAATAATATATTGTTTTGAACATAGTTGTAAGATAACTGTACTGTAATTTATATTTACCTAGATTCAGATCTTATAATAATATATTGTTTGGAGCACAGTTATAAGATAACTGTACTGTACTTTATATTTACCTAGATTCAGATCTTATAATAATATATTGTTTTGAACACAGTTATAAGATAACGGTACTTTATACTTACCTAGATACAGGTCTCCGTAATAATGTAAGATAACGGTACTTTACATTTACTTAGATACAGATTTTAATAAAATATTGGGATACAGATCTCATAATAAAATATTGTCTCGTAACATGGTTGTCAGATCTCCATAACATTGTTTTGAATATATAATGTATACCAAGTTTTACCAAGATAAAATCCTCATAATAATTGATTGTTCGGACTATAGCTGTGAGACAACAGTACATTATACTAGATACAAATCTCACAATGTTCTCCCATTAGATATTTTATGTATATAATATATAATATATATATATATATATATATATATATATATATAGGAAAAAATATATAAAACGATCTAACTCTCAGTTAAACATATAAGTAAAATTCAAGTATTAGAGAAAAAACACTAAAAATTAAAATTTTGGCTAGTACTTTCATCGTTATCAAACGAATCGTCAGGCCATTTTAATGCGTTACTATGCTATTACAATACGTTACGTCATAACAGAGGACAATGACTATGTGAAATATAAAAATTAAAACGAAATAACATTAATTAAATATCAAACATAATTAAAATAATCACCCCTTAGCATTCAAAATTGGGTTATATTTAGTTGCTTTCTTTTGTTTCCAAGAGATCATTATCACTAATATTGAGTTTGTACAAAGGAAAAATCTTGATTTGACCTTTACCACAAATATCCAAATGTTCGCTCACCGACAAAACTCTATTTCTTGCGAGTTTTATATTAGAACGATGTTGGTTAATTCGTAAATTCAACTGATCAATAGTTTTTCCAATGTACTTGCCATTACAACCATTACATATTAATAAGTAAATTACATACTTCGATTGGCAATTCATATATTGTTTAACATGTTAAAACATCTTTAGTAATTTGGACAAATGTTCCTTCTAATATATCGGAACATGTGTCATACATCGTAAATCCCCACACTTGGATACACGGGGTACCGACATATCAGAATCAAACTTTGATGATGTTATATTCTTCTAAGATTTTGAGGTTGTTTTAGACTATTTATAATTTTTGAATTATTTAGGATGTATTTTAATTTACGACTATTGTTCTTTAAAATATCCAACCGCCCCTTTACAATGGACAACCCTCTTTCTTGAGAAGGATTAAATGTTGTCACAAATGTTATATTATTAGAATCGTTGTCTTTTATTTTGGGTTTTCTGAGATCACCAATGTTAAGTTTAGATATATATATATGTTACAGGAAACAAGCATAATCAGTAATTATGTATAATTACTGAAATTTTCAGGTATTATGTATAACAACTGATTCACTCAGTAATTATGTCTAATTACTGAAATTTTCAGGAATTAAGCATATTTACTGAAATGAGCCAGCAATAATTATACTTGTTTACTGAAAATATAAAATAACAGAAAGAAACGTGTACAGTTGGCACAATCTTTATTTTCATCACTCCACATTACAAAATATATGTATTCCTTTAAAAGGATTAGAATATGATAATACATATCAAATCAAATAATACTTTTACATGACATATCATATCATGACGAAATTATAACAAATAAAAATGAATATTTACATGACATCAATTCTAATGACATATCTGTCAAAAGCATATGATACATATTTATGACAATGAAGAAATCATGGCATTTAAGAATGTTTATTTTTACAAGAAAGATTTGAATGACATCTAGAAATCATGGCATTTAAGAATGTTTATTTTTACAAGAAAGATTTGAATGACATCTAGAATTGCATGCCATTTTTGCTTTGAAACACTTGCAGCGGTTAGATTCGCATCGTTTGGTACCAGAACAATTGCATCTTACAAATCCTTGACCTCCACACACTGAATCCATTTGAACAGCTTGGCGTAGAGAGACTCTTTGATCAGTGTTAAAGTCATCTCATTCATAGAGCTTTGTAACATAAACATCAAACTGGTTAAGGGAATATTTCCCGTTCAGCACTCCACAGTTACAACACCGATGAGGTTGCGTGGATCACCTCTTCCTCTGTCGACATGCGGGATAGGAACAGTCACATTGTCTCCAACACTCACAGGACCAAATACACGTTTGCTGCGTTTTACCATACGTTGAGCTTGTTCCTCTTGAGCTTCTCTGGCACTTTTCCTGTTCTCCATAATGCTGTCATGTTGAAGAGAAACTGGATCTTGTGAGACAAGCAATGGATCAGAGTCATCATCAGCAGCTGTTGCAATGGGTAGTTCACCGGATACGGCTATAGAGTCACTGGTATGGATGGAGGAGATTCAGATGCAGCCAAAAGATGGTCTTCTGATTGGAGTTTCTCGAGAATTTCACGTGGAAGGGTGGAAGAAGATAGTCCAATTCGGGCATCTGATCCAAACAAAGCTGCAAATGGTGATCTCTTGATGCCACTGTGGAGGCTGGAATTCTTTTGGAACTGAACGAATTTGAGTCCTACTGTCCAGTCACTGGAGTTGTTGTCACCAAGCCATGCAACTAACATATCTTTAATGTCGCAATTGGCTCTCTCTATAGAACCTTGGCTTTGGGGATGTCTAGGTTTGCCATGCACAATGACCAATTCAGGCCACACAAGTTTAAGTTCATTTACAACTATATGTATATATATATATGTAGTGCAGCTTTACGGTTGTGCTAATATTTCTGGATATATATATATGTGTGTATGTGTGTGTATATGTATATATATATATATATATATATATATCCAAAATTATTAGCACAACCGCAAAGCTGCACTGCTTTGTTTCACAGTAAATTATGAAAAGATAAAAACTGGTATGCGGACACAAACTGATTTCAACACTGGTTTAACACAGGTACATGGGGACAGGAACGCAATTATTAATATGTTACACCTGACCTTTATTAATAATATTAATAAAAATATATGGATAAATATTTCTGGATATATATATATATGTATGTATGTGTATATGTATATATATATATATATATATATATATCCAAAATTATTAGCACAACCGCAAAGCTGCACTGCTTTGTTTCACAGTAAATTATGAAAAGATAAAAAATGGTATGCCGACACAAGCTGATTTCAACACTGGTTTAACACAGGTACATGGGGACAGGAACGCAATTATTAATATGTTACACCTGACCTTTATTAATAATATTAATAAAAATATATGATTTATTTAATTTTTGAGTTTCTGTTTTTTTCTTCACATTTTTCAATTTTTTTAATCTTATTTTTCTCTATATTTGGTGCTAAATGATATAATATTTACTATCAAACATGTAATTCATATTTCAAAAAATATACCCTCTGATGTATTTATAAAAGAGAAAGGTAAGACACTTTTCTGTTGACGTTTTTTTTCCCGTGAGGTACCTCTGTCGCTATTTACTTCAAAAATGAAATGAAATGAAATGGAGTTTAACGTCCTACTGTTCTGCTCCTAACCTGGGCTAATGAAGACGGGCATACGCCATACAGTGTGCTATGAGGGAAATTTTGCCCGGACAGCGGCACTACGGCCTACTCTTACATCGAATTCCAACTGCCAAGGGATCTTTTACGTGCACGCCAATGTGTACACGGGGCCTCGGTTTTTCGTCCCATCCGAACGACTAGACAGCTTTCCTTGCCAGGCCCTCCGTCCTGCATCACTACTTCAAAATCGTGAATAAAATTGGTTTACCATACAAATCAGTCACCCAGTTCCTTTCCATATATATTTCTTTGGTTAAAAACACACATTTCAGATTTTTAAAAAAAATGTTAAGTCAGTTTATTTGCCATAAATCACTCGAAATGTTTTACATTTCCTGGACATTTTGAACCCCTTCTGTAGAAGTGACCGAAGTGGTAATAAGGGAGACAACTCTGTCAACTGAACTGACCTGAATGAATCATTCGGCACACCTCCGCTATTTCTACGAATGAACGGGCATTACGAAAAGGTAAGCCGAACGAAAATTACGGGAAAATCACATGCGAACAAAAATAATGAAAAATGGATGAATGTCAAAAATTTGCGTTCAATTTAGTGGTAAATGGACACAACCTGGTCATAACAGGTCAAGCTGAAACTGGAAAAACATTTTTAGTAAAGAATATTGTAAAACATTTGAGACATAAACTACAGAAAAACGTTTATATCGTATGCTCAACTGGAATAGCTGCAACACACTATGGTGACTTAGGTGCGCAAACTCACCATAAATGGTCGGGTATTGAAGATGGTAGAAATTTGAATGAAGAAATTATTCATTTGGTTAAAACTGACGAAAGATTTCATTCTGTTAAAAACAATATCGAAACTGTTGAAACTTTAATAATTGATGAGATATCAATGATCAGCGCCAAAGTACTTAATCAAGTTCAACTATTGTGTAAACATGTAAGAATTTCAACAGCTGCTTTTGGAAAAATTCAAGTGGTTTTAGTGGTAGATTTTTTTTCAGCTGCCCCCGGTATCAAATGAACTTTTCTGTGATCCTGGTAATTTTTGCTTTAGCTTGCCCTGGTTTGAACATTTTTTCCCACACAAACTCAACATGTATGTCATTCATAGGCAGGATGACCCAAGCCTTATTAAATGCATAAATGAATTAGAAAAGGGCAATCCTTCGGATGAAACCATAACATTTTTGAATTCTTTGGACAGGCCAATTGAAGATGAAGAATCGAGTATTCAACTTTTTGCAAGAAATCTGGAAGTGGACCTTTTTAACTACAATAAACTGCAGTTCATTAATGGTGAGCTTAAAGTTTACAAGGCCGTGGAAGAAGGTTCACATCATTATTTAAATAAGTTTTTAGCGCCAAAAAAGTTAGGACTTAAAGTTGGTTGTCCAGTTATGTTGGTAAAAGATCTTAATGATGTTTTGGTTAATGGCCTTCGTGGCAGTGTTGTAAAACTTAATAATGAATCTGTAGATATAAAATTTGTTCAAGAGAAGAAAAACATAACATGTAATATTTCAGCAACTATTTTTACCATATTTGATCCTGTTGATAAAGTAGTTATAGCAAAAAGAGTACAACTCCCTTTAAAGCTTGCCTATGCCATAACAATTCATAAATCACCGGGTATGAGTTTAGAAAAAGTAACTGTAAATTGTGAGCACTGCATTCAGCCGGGTCAACTTGGAGTTGCTGTAGGAAGAGCAATGTATGTAGAAGGTTTAAAGGTTGTAAATTTTACTAAATATTTGTGCAAAAAACATCCTGCAAACGTATCCAAATTTTATGACAATATATCCATAGGTACTGTGAGGAATGATTTAACGACACTGACGTTGAACCTTACGATGATGGAAATGAAAACAATGATCATGAGTGTGATAATCGTTCATATTTTAGGACCAAGTAGTCAGATGTTAACTTCAATTATGTTTTACCTCGAGAAAAAGTTTTTTGAACATTTGTCTGAACATTTAAAACTTTCTGACCCTGAGCCTCTGAGAAAAATATCTGTCGATGATGTACTATGTTCTTCTGGAAGAGGAAAAATTCGATATGTTTAGTGGATATGTTATAGCGAAAATTAAGCATAATTTATCAAGAAAGATACGGAATGCGCTATTTGTGCCTGGAAAAGAGGATATTTTGTCAACTTTTCAGAATCAGATGGATATTTTGAATTCCTTATGTTCTTCGTATGATGAATTAAGAGACGTGTCAAGTGATATGGACAGTTTGGAGGAGATAAAAAGAAAATAAAATGTGAGAGAAGGTTTGACCAATATTTCAGATCTGACATTTCAATTTTTTTCAAAACTAGAATTATTATGTCGTGAAAAACTTACACATACAAATTTGATAAGCATTGGTAAGCATTTATTCAGTATTTTTCTTAAAAATCTTCTAAATGATACAGATTTATTTCAAACTTGGATTAATTGCGTAACAAAACACAGAAAAGTTATTTTGTTAAAGTTATTTTAGAAACTGACAGGACATATATACTTTCTGGTACTACAGAGCCAGAAATTTTTATTGACACAGAACAACCTGGGCCGAGTGGAACACAGTTGCCCCACACTCAAATCTCAGATTCCAATACTTCTACTGTTTCGCCTTCCGATTCTTCATCAACAACACTGCCAACTGCAAAAATAGTAAGAAAGAGTAAACGTATGTCCGGGAAAAAGGGAAAGGCAAAATGCAAAAGAAAGGCCACATATGAGCAGTCGGATGAAAATTGTACAGTTTGCAATCGTGTATATATTGAGGGTGAAGATTGGGTATGTTGTGACGTGTGTTCCTTGTTGTATCACAGAGATTGTGTACAGCTGCAAGATGAAGTTCAATGGTCAAGGCTGAAAGAAGATGGAGAGCCTTTCACATGTCCTATGTGCATATAGGTTCAAGGAAAGTGTAATGAAGTTTACCTTTGGAATTTTTGTGATGTTCATGTGTTTATCAAGTGTCCACACCACCAGTATTAGACTTTGAGATAAAAGTTTGACCGAGTATTACTGAGTTGACAGAATGGCAGTAACCAAGATATGTAGGATTGGTGCTGGCTCCGTTATGAAGAGTTCTCTGTTGGCAAAAAATATTTTCAATGAAACACTATTCACTCGGTTAGGTATAATGGATGAATTAGACCGTTTTAATTTGTAAATGCATAGTTCATTAAATCCCATTACAGCAGATACTATATCCTCTCTGGTCTGATGAGATATTAAACTTTTCTCCTTATTTTTAATTGTTGTATCATTTTTTACATCATTTTCCCATCTAATGAACCATTGCACTGCATCATTATTCTGTCGAATTCGATCATCACTTGCATCAGTTATGGGCCTTGAGTCTCTGAAATTTTGTATGGGGTACTAGAACACTTCAACAGGTTAATTGTTGCGTCTAGTTTTGAACCCGCTGATCCTAGGCTGGCTTTATACTGTTCCATAAGATGTAACATATCACTATTGAGAACATCTTCAGCAATATGATTTCTCATCTTCCCTTCAGACGTTAAGAACAGGTGTTCTCGTGTAATATGTGATGTATCGGAAAGGGATTACATGACATATCCCATAAATATGCTTTTCTAAAATGACTCCACTCAATGAAGTTATCCCCACATTTTAAATGTCTCTTGCAGAATGTATCGTCTCCACTCTTTGAAATATTGTTTCTGATTTTTTTGAAAACATGAGAATAATCCATAATAAAGAATATTCTAGGATTATCACGGCAGTAAATGTTCTTGAAAGAGAAAGTTAAAGGGTTTACAGAGTTAAACTCGGGTAGTAAAAGTTTAAAAAGATCTCTGTTACTTGAGCACCACCCGTGCTTATATATTGAACCTTAAAATCAAAATTAGATAACATGTTAACCGCCTTCCAAAGTAATAAATAAAGTTCATGGCCTGATGCTGTTGTGGACGGGAAGTGCGCAAAGGGAAATCCAAAACCTGTAAATCCTAAAAATACAAATTGAAGAACATGGGTGGCTGGTGTCCTTTCTTTTTTGTTTGATTTAATTTGATCAAATACCATAGATTCTGGTGTACATTCAGTGAATCCAATTAACTGTATATCACCATTATTTTTCTTGAACTGTAAATCAGGTTGGATTGACATCTCGTCAAAAATTAGGCCCCCTTCAAATCCTTCAGGAGGAATGTTTTTAAGTTTAGCTTCATTAGCCATCCAATGAAACACATCCTTATTGATACCTGCTTCCTGATTAACGGTATTTTTATACCTCTGTAAAAGCTTTTGTGAAGGCAGTAGCACAAAATTACTTTTCCTCAATTCATCATATCCACGTGGACTCCTGCACCATAATGTTAAACACAGGCGGACAATGTCTTTGTTCCACCTCCTTCCATGTGGATGCCTTTCCATAGCCATTTTTTGTGACATTAAAAACATTTTCATTTTACCAGTGCATTCAGGAAAAATAGTTTTAAAAATTTCATACATGTCACCGCTGTCTTTCTCACACAAAACAAACTCATTATCGTCGTTATCAGTATTATTTACAGATTGTCCAACGTCTTTTTCATTTAAAGGTTGCGTAATATTGTTTATATCACCATGTTGGTCTTTTTCCTCCAATGGCATTTTCAGACTCACGGGTTTGTCTAATTTCTTGCAATTGCGGCATAACATTGATGTTTTACTTGACTTCTTAAAGGGCAACATAACTGTACAATTTTTTCCACGATATCTAATAGTGTTACTGTTTTCATCTCCAATCTGCGACACCTGCTCTTTAAAAAAAATTACGTCAGTGCGTGACTTATCAATTTCTTTGACACAATTACGATATCTAATTTGTCTTATGATTTGAAACAACGTGTGGCCATTATAATGTTTATCTAGACCTAAACTTGTGGGGTCAATTTGTTTACCAATAATGCAGTGACCATGTATGGTCAGATTTTAATGTAATTTCAATTAGAACTTTCCTTCCATTAATAATTTCCCCTGTAAAATGTCCTAATTTTACATGTTCAGCTAATTTTGATATGACAAAATAGTTTTCAGGTAAAGTAGAAATTATATCTGTTAACTCTAGAGGAACATTCAAATTTCTCTTCCAACAAACACCATAATATCTTTTGGTTACTTTGCACCAATCATCTTTACAACGCCCTTGTTGGATTTTTACATTGCTAAAAGGTTGTCGAATAGAATTTCCAATTGCTATACTTGTCACTGGTGTATTGTATTTACTCTTTAAATCAATTAAATCAACATATTCATTCTCATTACAATGTTCTAATTTTTCTAGCAACCAATTATAAAGAGGAACTTGATTAAATTCGCACATATTCCCGGAATAAAGCTAATTTTGATTTTTTTTTCAATTTCAAATTTGTGCGCCAAAAATACTTTTCCCGTATTCTTCATTCGGCCTACTCCGGTTTTCTTTATCTAGATTCGTAGAAATAGCGGAGGTGTGGCAAATGATTCATTCGGGTCAGTTCAGTTGTCTCCCTTATTACCACTTCCGTCACTTCTACAGAAGGGGTTCAAAATGTCCAGGAAATCTAAAAAATTCCGAGTGATTTATGGCAAATAAACTGACTTAACATTTTTTTAAAAATCTGAAATGTGTGTTTTTAACCAAAGAAATATATATGGAAAGGAACTGGGTGACTGATTTGTATGGTAAACACACGTGTGTTAATCTGTAGTATATGGGTTCAATTTATGAACAATGAGTGGAAGATAATCATTTGATAGATTTAAGAAAATTAATGAAGCTAATGGCCAATTGTTACTTATTGACTATTAAGTCGAGGAACGTATTTTTTAATAGAATGGTTTTCCATTAATTTCCTTTTCGTGGTGTCATCGACTTTCGTTTTATAAAAAGGGAACATTTGGAATTTTACTTGTAGGTGTTGTGCACATTTATAGATATGTCTATTTACAAATAAGGCCCATTTTCAATATTACAATCCCGTCGATGGTTGCGTACTCTATCCCGGAGGTGCGTGGACGTCTCCCCTATGTAAAATTTTAGACACCCATTGCAAGTCAAGACATATATGAGATTTTTTGTGTCACAATTCATATTGTCGTTGACACTAAATGTAAACTTAGGAAAATTATATTTGTTATTTGGCGTAATATGGTCGTAACATTTACATTGAAGATCCGGGCATTTAGATACATAAAAGCCGGCCCTTGTGATAGATGAATTGAATTTTGCTTTGGTTAGGAGGCGTTTGAGATTAGGTGGTTGTTTTTGTGATTTAATGAATTGAACATTATCAAATTTCGTTCTGAGGTTGTCGTTTGATGCCAGGATTGCCCTGCTCTCGTATATTGTTTTAAAGAAGTTGGGATGTTGGGGGTTATGAGTAGCGACAAAGGTAGGGATATTATCCGAACTGTCTTTTGCTTTAGTAGCTCTGGGTGTTTGGATATCAATTGCCAAAGCCTTATTCATTCCAACTTCTATTACCTCGACGGGGTAAACCTGTTTCAATAAATTTCTTTTTAGCTCACCTAATCTGACAACCCGGAGGTCTTCATCTATCACAATGGTGCATATTTTTCTAGCTAAAGAAAAAGGTATATTATTTTTGTTGTGGCGTGGGTGACATGTTTTATATGAAAGATAGTTTTTGGTATCTGTTTCTTTAGAATACATATCCGTTATAAGGAGTTCTCCCCTTCGTTTCACTAGAACGTCCAAGAATGCGATTTGCAGATCGTTCGTTTCAATTGTGAATTTGATATTTAGATCTAAATCATTCATTGTTTTTTGCAAATCTGCAATGTTGCGAATTCGTCCATTCCAAATACAGAATATATCGTCTAGGAATCGTTTAAAATTATTTATTGTCTTGAACATAGTTGTAAGATAACGGTACTTTATAGTGACCTAGATACAGATCTCATAAAAATATTTGTTTTGAACACAGCTGTAAAATAAAAGTACTCTATATTTAACTATAAAAATTACTCATAATAGTATTTGGTTTGATCCGTTGATGTTAGATCACGCTTGTTTAAATTTAGCACAGACTTTATAATAATATATTGTCTCCTTCATAGTTTTAAGATAACGGTACTTTTATTTACCTTGATACAGCTCTTAATAAAATAGTGTTTTGAATATTGTAGTAGGGTTACGGTACAATATTCTTATCCAGTGACAGATCTCAGAATAAAAATTATTTTGAACATAATTGTAAGATAACGGCACTTTAAACGTGCTTAGATTCAGATCTTCGGAATTATATTCGATTTGAACATAGCTGTGTGATAACGGTACTTTATGCTTACCTAGATACAAATCTCATAATAAAATAATACCTTGAACATAGTTGTAAGATAGCGGTATTTTATACTTACCTAGACTCAGATTTGTTTTAAATACTTATGTAAGTATCCTCAATAATATATTGCTTTGAACATAGCTGTAAGATAACAGTACTTTATATTACCTAGATACAAATCTCAAAAAATGTTACTTGATATCTTCTTTTTAACATAGTTGTAAGATAAAACAATCTATACAGATGTCATAATAAACATACTGTTTAAATATTATTGTAAGGCAATAGTACTTTATATTTACATATATACAGATCGCATAATGATATACATTGTTTCGGACAAAATTGTAAGATAACGGTACTTTATACTTACCTAGATGTAGATCTTATAATAACTAGATCTGCAAAGCAGATATGAAAGCTTTCATATTTACAGTCACTTCTGTTGGTTATACGAAGAATCTCAGCAACTTCTAACTAGTCTAATGAAACGGACATGGGTCATGCAGTGAACTATGTGGGAAATTTACTTTGATCAGCAGCGCTCTGGCCTGTTTTTATATCGAATGTTGCAATGATTTTTTTATGTGGATGACAATAGGGTTCTTAATG